ATAGGTTTTTTAGTATGTACTCATACCATAATAAAATATGTAATTTAATTCATTCATTTCCTTTAATTCAAAATATATTTCAAAATTTGTATTTCAAATAGAGGTAAGGTGAATTTCCATGGTAAGTATACTCACCTCCAAAAAAGCCAAATTGGATAGTTGAAAATCTACGAATCTAACGAAGAGTAAAGGCGCTTTCTTCAGACCTAGCAATTAATAAAAGATACTAGAAATTAGGATAATACATCATGCATGATGCAACATTTATAAAGTTGAACCTAAATATAATATGAACTCGTCTGACCTCCTCTTAAGTCACCCAAATAAAATAAATTATCCAACTCCATCCTTGATAGAATTTTGAGTAATCATCTAGTATAAAATCCAACCAATTTATATGCAAAACATCATCACATATTAAACTCCAAAAGTCAAAAATCAACTTTTCCATAAACCCATCAACTTGGGTAATTTAGCTCAATAATTCATAAAATTCCTCTAGCATCATTCATAATACATAAAGATTACTCAATTTGCCATTTCTCAAATCAATTTCAACATATAATTTTCCTAGCACCAAAATCCCTAATCTTTACATCACATTCAAATCCTAGAATAACCCTAATTTCAATCTCCAAATTAATAATCAAATCAATAGCTTTTTTACATGCAGAAACATCCATAGAAACTAATTGAAAGCATGAAACTCAATAATCAAACACAAATCATGATAGATTTAAAAATCAACTCTAACTCAAAATGTGTAAAACCTTAAACTAAACTTTGTAGAGAGATTCTTACTAACTATAGGCTTCTATTGCATCATGAAACACAAACCCAAGCCTTAATTCTTGAAGAGATTAAGAAAATCTAGAGTTTGAGCTTGATTTGGAGCTAATCTCATTGACAGAAAGAGGTGGTCGGCTGAAGCTTTTTCAATCGAGATTAAGGTGACCGGTGGTGGTGGTGGTGGTGATGATGGGTTAAGGTTGTGGTGCGAGGGCGGAGCAAGGTGTGATGTTTGTGTCATAACCCAAACCTGCCCCTAGAGATTTGGATCATAACCGGTCAGTAATCATGAGATTACTTGCGACTTTAGATAGAAATTCAAAACATAATTATATATACGGGGCTAGAAGTGGAAGCAAAATATTAAAATACCAAAAATTATCCATTGAGTTGTGCATACATGACATATCAAAATGCTTTAAGTTAATAACCCACATTCATTACACATTTGTACAAACATACGTTTATTCATTTATGACTTCATATTTAAAGACTGTCACATAAGAGTGTCATTCATAAACTTAGCCATTTTGAAATTAAAAGATGGTCAGACATGACCAATGAAAAGAAAACAAAAGACAAAAGCCTCATCCGAGAGGTGCTTCAAAGCTGACATCACAAAAAAATGAGTGATCTTGCATAGGTTCACTAGGGCTGGATATGTCACTGCTCACCTACATATATATATATATATATATATATAATGGTGTAAGCTAGAGCCCAGTGAATAACATCAAAGTAAAGGGGTTACGTGAATGAGTTCTATTATAGAAACATAATCATTTTCACATCACATTTGTTCATATCGAAACAACCTCTGGTTTGATACACGACAGAACAACCTTTGGTCCAACATATAATAGATGTACAGAGCAGAACATATCATAACTTGATGGAACGACTTTGGGTCTAATCGATTTTAACTGTATATTGACCGTTTGGTCAACACATAATAGATATCTTAGACTTATCAGATATTCAGAACGACCTTGAGTCCATTTTATCAGATACACAGAATGACCTTTGGTCCATCTCACACATTTGCACTTAATCAATTCCATTAACAAATATCATGTTGATCGACAGAAAAAAGCTCACTCATACACACAAAATCATAAGTTTAGAAAATCTTACCACATTGGAAACATTTAGAAAATAGCACATAAGAAAACATCTTTACGAAGTATTACTCCCAATGATTAGATTATGGACACATCTCCGTGGATCAATCTACACAACACATGAACACATACACACATTGGAACACATTGCTCAATTGAATCGTTCTTAACTTATCCTATTTCTGTAAGTCCAATTCTAACACATTAATTCATTTGGGAGGTTCAATTCATGCCTAAGAATGCTCAGAAAGATTTAAGAATGAAAATATGGACAAAATATAAATTCTCAAAATATGCTGAAATAGAACATTTCGCTCAAGCGGTCATTTGGTCCCTCGAGCAGTCTGCATGGTCTGTAAAAGTACTGGATGTACAAAATCTAGACTCGATGGTTGCTTGAGCTATGAGAAAAATGAACTGAGGTTGCTGAGCGTCTGCAAAGTTCTGCAAAACTTCTGGTTGAATGAAATGTGCGCTCGAGCGGTAACTTCACTACTAGAGCGATGCAGCCGAAATCTGGGTTGTCAAAACCGAATTTTGTGTTACAAAACTTGAGTCCTTAAGTCAAAAACTTGCAAAAAGTTTTTCATGGCTTAGTTTATAGCTTGAAAACACTTAGAAAAATATGAACATGTACCAATATCAAACCCTTAGCTCAAAAACTCCATGATTTCTTTAAATTGAAACTTGAACTTCATAAACCCTTTACAAATGGATCTCAAACCTTCATTCATGTATGATCTTGTTTTAAATTCTTCTTCTACAACTTTTAAAATATGAAATTGACTTCAAAACTCTTTAAACCATGGATGCAAGTATGTTACAACTTCTAATTCAAACATAGATAATGAAAATCATGCTCAAAATGTTGAAACTACACAAAATTATGCATACATGTAAGTTCTAGCTCCAAATTCATCAACTTGTTACTCGATTCTTGTGTTTAAGCTCATATTCTTTATAGATTCATAAGCTAGATGACTTGATCACATGGATTAAGAATCAAACTCTTACCTAGAGTCTTCAATTACACCTATTCTGGACAATCTTGGTCTCCTCTTCTCAAATATTCATCTTCTAGCAAAATCCAAGTTCTCTAGCTCTCTCTTCCTAAAATTGTCTCACTCTGTATCTAAGTTAGTTCTACCAAATTTTTGAGCACAAAAATGAACTCATTCTATTCTTCTAACCCACATATATATATATATATACATGTTGATTAGTTTAGCACTAATTAAGGATTAAGCTAAGTAATTAAGGCTTAAGATTAATTAATTAAAACTTAATTTTTCTGAACTGCATCAAATTTTAATCAAACTTCTTGAAAAGTTCTAAAAAATATGTCATCCAAATTAAACTTGTCAATTTTGATTTCTGAAGTCATTAAGGCCTTCAATTTCATATCCTTAGCAAAAATCAGAACAAATAATTCACAAATTAGACAGATGTACACAAATTGAACAGAAAACACATATTCACAATTGAAAATTAAATAAATATAAGTATATTACGTGGTGGGGTTCTCAAAATTTGGGAAGCAAGAAAATGAGAAAAAGTGATGGAAATGAGAAGACCCAAAATAATTCTACACTCTTCTCTTGTTCCTTAAAATATCTTAAGGTCATGTTTGGTTGCACTAATAAGTATTGTTTGGAGTTGGTTTATGGTATCCTTGTTTGGTTTCCAATTGGATGGTGTTTTGTTATACAAAAATCTTGAACATTACAATTCTGCCCACTTAAAGAAAATTTTGTCCTTAAAATTTATAGTTCATACCTTGAAAAAGATGTGGATATCGGGTCCTCATATTATCCTCCTACTCCTAAGTAGATTCCTTCAAAATATGGTTTCTTGACAATATTTTCACTAACGGTAGAGTCTTAGAACGAAAAATAAGATTTTTTTTTTCTCTGTCCACAATCTCTATGGCCTCTTCTCCATAAGACAAGTCATCCTTAAGTCCGTTTGGTTGGAAGTCTAATACATGTGATGGATCAGGTATATACTCCTTTAATGTGGATACATAGAACACATTGTGAATGTGTTAGAGACTGGGTGATAAAGCCATGTGGTATGTGTCACACCCCCAATTTAATTACTCGAATAACATTATCAAATCCATTATTATAGTTCATTTCATTAATATAATACGGGGAATAGGATTCCAATATTACCAATAAATATAAAAGGGTTCTTCCAATTGTATATATATGCCAGAATACAACATAAACTACAACAAACAAGATGCCCGTAGGCTTACATATTTACAATACAGGAAAAAGGTTTAACCCTTATTACTTTAAAGGTCTTACCAGGTTGTCACGTCGCTGACATACAAAAAGCCCTATGGCCAACACATAATGAAGATCACCAATCTTGAATCACTTAACCATAAGTGCCTGAAAGGAAAATTAACAAGGTGGGATGAACATAAACTCCAGTATAGATCCCACATAATCCTTAATAATAACAATGTACAGATAACTATGATCATAAATGCTATATCTCATACTATATATATTATATGGCGTTTTATAACAAAATATCCATATACAATTATCTATTTCTCTAAAACATTATGTTCTCCCAACACATAAAGAAAATGCCTTTTTTCCCCCCATTTTCCTTTATTTCATAAAATCATTTGACAACATCCAATTCCCCCCCTCCCCTTAAAAAAAGAAGAAATAGTTTCACAAACTCAATTTCCACTTATTCCATACCACCCCAATACATGACTCCCATCCATGTCTAATAAATTCACCACATTCTTGGACTTCGTGTCCCAAAAGTGAAGAAACACTCCCCACCACTTATTCAATATATCAATGTACATTTATACACATTTTAATACGTAAGAAAACGATAAATGTGATCTGATCACTACTTTACCCTATAAGACAATCTGGCCTTGGTACAAATAAACATTGCCAAACTTGAAATACACACAATAAACCAAGGCAAGGATAAGAAGCCAAACTATGCTCTACATGGCTTAAGCACGATAAGCCAAAAATACATCTCATTATCATCCCACACTACCATGAATATGTTTCTAACTAACCCCCACATTTTTTCGTCATCACATAGATGGCCAATGGACATCTCAAGCTTTTCACATTTACTGTCCTCACACGACCGGGCATGTGGATACCTCAAACTTTCCATAGTTATCATCCTCACACGATCGGACATGTGGACACTTCAAGCATTCCCACATTTATCGTCCTCACACGATCAGGCAAGTGGGCAGCTTAAATTTACCAATAAGGGTAATTCAATATCACACAACATAACAACTGAACAACTCTAATTCTATCACCACACAAGATTTTTATCCCACATTCTCAATTCATCAATAAGTTTCCCATTTATTTGCCACCCAAGACCTATGAGCATTGCATATTGTAGACACCCCATTTTTGACCGTCCTTAAGACTTGGACGTCACCGCTCGAACACTCGGTGATCATCCATGTTCGTGTTCGTCTTGAGTACCCGGAGGTCCCGGCTACGCGCCTTGCCTCAGGACCTCTCGACTCGACTGCTTTGTGTCTGGTTTTGCACCAAACACTTGTGTTTTTCCTTGAAGGGGCAGGGAATGCCTTGTGAGGCATCCCCACACATCACCGGCCATGGCTCGAGGCCACCGGCCAGTGATTGTATGCCATCGGCAATATATATTGTCGGTTGGCATTCTTTGTTGCCGATCGGCCATTTATTTTGTCAAAGTGGCAATTTTGGATGGCCGATCACTGTTCATCTACTTTTAGTAGATATTTTGTGCCAGCTGTGATAGCTGGCACCCACTCTGTTCCCTTCCATACACGTGTATGGAGGGATTTCCCTCTTAGATGGCTTGTTTTGGAAGCCTTACAAGAGGGAGTTGCCTATAAGAAGAGGTCTCCTCTCTTGGCATTAGGGTTAGAAAACATTGTTAGAGAAGCTCTGGTTCTAGGTTTAGGGTTTTATATCTATCCTATATCTATATCTCTCCATCTCTTGTATTGTGTGTGTTTAAGCCTTAGTTTTGTACACAAACACCTACTACTACACCTTTCTCTTGGAAATGAGGTTCTAGAGGGTTGTTTTTGAAGTTTTAAAGCTAGTTTGGACCTAAGGAGACTGCTGGTCCACCATTTGTGAAGAGGGTCTACAAGGGTAAGACTTTTGTCCATTTTTACCCCATTTTTGCAAAGCTTTTTAGCCTATCTATCATATGTATTTGAGCTTAGTGTATAACATAAAAAAGTTTTGTTTTTAGGCCCTCTAAATAGTTGTTTAAGGTTTCTTCAAGCTTTGGGGTTGTTTGACCCCTCTTAAGCCTTGTAAGGCTCCATTTTGTGCCATTTTGGGTGAGCTCTGAGACCTTGGTGTTTGGGCCTCCTCACCACTGAAATCTTGAGGGATTTCAGAGGTGAGGATGGTGCCTTGAGGTCCCATGAAGGAGAGGGCCACCCCGTCTCCTTGTTGTCCTTGAAAAGGTTCATTTTTGCCTCTTGAGGGAGCACCTAGCTTAGGCTCATGTTGACCATGCCTCGGCTGTTTTTTATGCTTATTATGCCATGATATAGCATTGTTTTAAGTTGGTTTTGATAAACCATGCTTGCTTAGCATACATGCCTTGTAATGCCATTTTGTTGCCTTAACATGCCTTAGGTTGTAAACCATTGTTCTAGCATGCTTTAGACTTGGCTTTGTGAAGCTTTCATGTTTATTTTGCCATGTTTAAGGTCTATCCTTAGTTGTTTGGGTCGACTTTAGCATGCATTGCATAGCCCCTTTGCATTTTAGCTTGTAGGCTTCAAGTATGTGAGTGTATAGCATGCATCACTTGCTTTGATTTAGTGAGTTGGGACTATTTTCCATGTCATTTCAGTCCACTTAGCATGCTTGTATACTTGCATTTCATGGCTCTTTGATGTTTCAAGAGTTTGTGTTTCATGCTCCTCGAAAGTGCATTTGTGCATGCTTCCATGTGTAAGTCATTTAGATGTCATCTAAGTGGTTTTTGGGGTTCATTTTGACATGCTAAAACCCTGATTTTAGTTGCTTAAATCATGCCATGTTTGGTCTTGATAAGTGTAGTCCAATGCCTCTTTGGTGAGCCTTAGGCGTTGGGCTTGGTTGCATGCCTTGGCTTGTCATGTTTAATTGATTTGGTATCATATTTAGCATGATTTTAAAGCTTCCAATGCATACCATATGTCCGTGATTATTCCCCTTGAAGTGTGCTTAAAGGATATCCTTCGATGCTTAAGGGCTTAGGTCTTAACATGTGCATGCGTGTATGTGTGTTGGCCCTCTTGTTTGAGCACTTTGGCCGCTGATTTAGGCTTGTTTGAGAGTGGCCTAATTTAGTTTAAGTCCGTGTCCTTGCTTGTTTGCATCCTCCTCTTGCATGTTTGCTCGCATACTTGCATAAATGCATTGTATGCCCATGTTGCATGCTAGTGCACATGCCTAGGTTGCACTCCATCTAGCATGCATGCCTTGTTCCTTGATTTAGTGATAGGAGTTGGGCCTTTGTTTGTTGGTTTGTATTGCATTTGAAATCAACATGCATAACTTGGTCTCTTGGGCCATCATGCATTGAAATGCGCGATTGATGGTCCGAGAACCAAGGACCATGTCCCTTTGTGTCATAAACATGATAAAGGATATGGTTGGTGCATACATTGCTTGAATTGCATTGCCATGCAAAGCTCTGTCCACTGCTGCTATCAAACAGATTCTGCAGGAACTTTTTGCCAATCGACTGCACAGAGTGCCGACCAGCAATCCATCTGTGGCCGATGGATTCATTTTTGGCCGATCGACACCAAATCACAGCCGATGATGATTCCCTCCAGCCAGTGGCATTCCCCAACATCTAGTGAGCACATCCTGAGACTTTGGCAGTCTTCAGAGAAGCAGAGCAGGGAAAACAGAGGTGGCTTGTGCATGGCACTGGACTTCTGAGCAAGACCCAAGCATGCGTGCATTGGACCCTCTTCCAGAGGCCCTTTTTTTATTGCTTTTCTTAGCTTAGTTAATTTGTTAATTAATTAGGTAATTTGTAATAATTAATTAGCTTGCGAGTTAGTTAGTTTGTATTATTCTTTTGGTCCCTCCGAGCGAGGGCGAATTTGTAATAAGTGTGGGTGAGTTTGTGCATGTCTTCCAACCCCCACTTCTTTCTCCCTTTTACTTACCTGCTTTGATGGTTAGTAATAGGTCATGTATAATTTAGCATACCTTATGCTATGCATGCGTGCATCATTCATCAGTATTGCATGCACCGGGCTCGGCGCATCATGCTAACAACATTAGTATTTCAATTCTAACTTGAATACATGCTACCTGTGCATTTTCACATGTCATTCATAGACTAGCCGAGCCTGCTCTAGTGACATTCCGTACGCGTTGCATTAGGCATTTAAACATGGACTTGGATCTTGCATTGATTGCTAACGAGTTCTTTGTTTTGGCACGGAGTACGATGTAAGTATTTATGCTTTAGCATCTCGCATGAGTGCGAATGTTAACATGACAGTATGCTTGCCATGCGGCTATATGTTTACATGATATTACTGCTTGAATGCCTGTGGATGAAGGTCGAATTGCTTAAATTGAGATAATGCATTAAAACTGTGAGTTTTAAGCCCACTCGATAGTGGCAAAACCATCTTTTTTTCTAAAAGTCCACTTAAGGGTGGCAAAACCTGCATTTTAGCCTACTTGCGAGTAGCAAACCATTTTGAAAACAAACATGCGATGTTTTGTTCCAATTTAGGCGATTTGGTCTACACTTGTTTGTTGTGCGCATAACATAGTAATTCTAGGCTAATAACCGGAATAAGAACACATGACGCTTTCAAAAACGGATATCACGGTTAGTAGAGGCCGATCTTCGGATCGGGCGAGAGGGGGTGCTCATAGCTGACCTTCCCCAATCGTACCCAAGCTCCCGAGCCGAGGCAACTTTGGTGATGACGGACACGTGGCCTTTGGCACCGAGTCAGGGTTTCCTAAATTTCCCCTTAAAAAATATTTAGGTGGCGACTCTGTATCTGGCAAAGCAGTCCATGTTTGGTACTTCTTTTCTAAAAATCTGTTTTCTCAAAACGATTTGCTAGATTTGGATTCTTTGGTTTAGATTAAGAACCGTGACACAAATTGAGTCCGAACTGTAGCACGAAGGCCTTACGCGGGCGCGTCTACAGTTTCTGGCGACTCTGCTGGGGAGTTAGAGAGCTTGACTCGAACTCGTGATATCCTGTTTTGATTTCACTTATGTGTTTCTTTGCATTGCATGTGCATTGGTGCGCCTAGGACACCGTGTTTGCCATCTGCCATTCCTGAACGGTTTGCCGGAGGCTTGTCTTGTCAAGGCATGACCATAAGGCTGACCGATTGTGGGCTCTGATAGTATGGGAACACAAACCCCGGTTTTACCGGGGCACCCTTTTCGACCATTCGACCTAGTGCATATCGAAATCCATAGTGACTATTCCAAACTAGGACAAGTTGCTTACCCGATGTTAGGTTGTTTGAAAACTGCTGCGTGCGTAGTGAAACCCTAGCTCCTGACAAAATAGGACAGGGAAACCCTACCCCAACATAGGGGTGTTTTGGCTCTCACTTATCTGCTATGTGCTTTAGAGTTGGCCTCTACAGGATTGCATGTATCAGTTTACAAGTTTGAGAATCAGGCCTGTGGGCATCACAATCAGTATTTGGGGAATTAGTTTTACCTGAGGGTATCAGTTTACAGGCAAAATTTTGGGACAGAATTCAGTAGAGGGCACAGTTATCCTTGTGCTCATATCTGTTTTGGTGAAATCAGGCTGAGGTGCTATCTGTGTTCTCTTTTGCAAGGTAGTCCTAGAACCATAGCTTCAGAAGGCTCCGATATCCCCCGAGGTTCATCGGACTTGTGCTGATAGACTTTGTCAGGTCAGAGATTCAGTTCAAGGGCAATCAGTGCTCATTTGCCAAAGACAGGGTAAAAAGGCCAGTCAGGCACAGATCATCATACTTCGGATCAGCAGTCATTATCCATCTCACCTGTGCGCAGTTGGGTTGAGATATCTATTTTTACCTCAGGAAGGTATACCGGTTGCTCAGTTAGATCGGAACAATATGTCGAGTCTGGAAGAGATGGTGCGCCAACTCCAGGATAGTATGAAAGCCATGTAGCAAGACACTGTCCGTCAAGCAGAATTCGCCAAGCAACAGGCTGTGGTCATAGCCCAACAGG